CAACCACATTAAAAGAATCACATTAAAAGTAGATCAATCAGCAGAAAATCATTTGCACAACAATAAGCGAGATTCCATCAACCATAGAGGCACTGCCTAAAAGAACTATACTGCATACGACAATATAAATAAACATTGCAGTATAAAGTTATTAGCCGGTAACAAAGTTATAATCAAATAATCAATTAATTAATTTGATTTCATAGTGATAAAACAGCAACGCTTAAATTTTAGGTTTGAGGGAGGAATAATTTAGGATCGGAAAACAAATTTAAGAATTGGGGAGATTTTAGGTCTAAGGGAGGAATAATTCGGACATAGAAGACGAAAAGAATTGGGGATAGACTGTGATTCAAGGGAGGATAAAATACCTAGATAGATACCTGCCGTTTTAGCTACTGTAGTTAAGAAGAGATCGATCCCCTAAGAGATAGTATCAAAGAAGAAAGGGTGGAGGAGGCTGGCGGAGGCTGGCGGAGGCAGGAGATCGAAAAAGAAAGGCAATATACTGGTCGTTCTCGTTGTTCTCGTCGTTCTGGGCTGCAATTGAAAGCTTGAGATCGAAGAAGAACAGCAACAGAGCAGAGCGTGGTTTTGCTTCGGTAAACCGATGGTATTTCTTTCAAAATGGTAAACCGACCATGAACTATATCTTTAATCAATCGGTTAATTGAACCGTGGCTTTTTAAAAGAATGGTACGGTAAACCGGGAAAAAAATGGTTTTTCGATTTTTTCCCACGGTTACATGGTTATGGTTTTTTTATTCCCACCCCTATTCACGCTACTGTAAAATCAAAGGAGAAGGACTCAAGCCTCAGTTCCAGGTCGTTGAAGAAAAGAGGGAGCGAAAGTAGAAGGGTTAGAGTCATCGTCGTCGCCTAGCAACCACGGCGCCGGAGAAAAGGGAGATCGCCAGGGAAGGAACCAGACCGCCAGAGACGCCGCTGAACGTCATCCTAGTCACCGAAGAAACCGTACTCTGTCACTGTGTCGATACGCACAGTCTTTTTCAACACTTGCGCAACAACGAAGTTGGTAGCAAATTTTACGGTACAAGGGTTTCTGGCTTTTTTTATTAACAATACTACGTAGTTTTGGGATCGGTACACCATGTTGTGCATGGTGTACCGATCCCACAGTATAATTTGCACTCTAACTCCAACTTAAATTTTAAGACTATATTTATGAATACCTCAATTTTAAACTGACGGATAGTATATCCGGGGATACCGCTGGAGGTACCTAGAGAGAAGTCAGAATAAGTAAGAGAGAGAGTAGGTGTGTATTAAATGAACTCAAGTGTTCGATCTCAGATCTGGGATCCTTTACAATGAAGGATGGGCTTGCTATTTATAGCAATTGATGGATAGTCTACCCGGGGGGTATATATCCGAGGGGTTATTGCTGGGAATAACTTAGAGAGAAGTCAGAGCAAGTAAATGTAGAGAGAGAGAGTATTATAAATGTGGAGCGTTTTCAGCGTGGTTACAAATGGGGAAAAGGGGGTGCTATTTATAGTAGCAATAAATGTCGGGCAGGGACACGTGTCAAGCGCCTATTGGCCGAGGGGTCACCTCAACAGGTTGGCGTTGGCAGCCGCATGTGGCCGCATTTAATGCGGCTGTTGGATGGGACGTCTGTACAGGGTACGGCGATCTGTACGCATGTGAGGCGGATATTATGTCGGGAGAGGTGCCCTCGGCTGCAGAGGACTAGCCGAGGGCTCTTAGTGCCGAGGACCCCTGAGTGCCGAGGGCTCCAGGTGCCGAGGGCTACTGTTTTCGTCGTTTTCTCCCAGTTCCTCTGTTTGTTCGAAATATCCATGCTGTGATAGTTTGGAGCCTTCGGCCAGGGGGCCGAAGGCACCCCTGGTGCGTATTGCGGGCTGCTTGGTACTCTGGGCGCCGTGATTTGGGCCTGTTGGGCCTTCTGGGCCTGTTGGGCCTCTACTGGAGTAGTAGGAGTCTGTGGGCCGGGTGTTCCCGGGCCATATACTCCATCAGGAGTCCCTCACTCCTTTTGCCGAAAGGTATTTGAGGGAAAAGGAGTAATTTGTGCTTGTCCTTTGATGTTGTCCCGTCGTGATCTCTGAAGTTGGTGAGGAGTTGTTGCTTTTATGTCCCTGCCGAAGGCAGTCCCTCAGTTACCCACATGTCGGGACTTGAGGGCTTGCTTTGTCGTTTGTTGGAATTTCACTAATTTTGTAATTTAATGATTTTCCTGAGGGGTCCTCCAGTCCCCCACTCCTTGAGGCACTTGTAAAGTGGTGAAAAGGAGTAGAGTAGCTGCGTTGCTGTTGTGGGCCGAAGGCTGACGCTTTTCGTTTCATTTTGGGGGGATGCCTCGTTAAAAACCTCATTAGAAAAAAACATGTGGGAAAAAATCCTAATGAGGGAAAAAGAGTGCACCGAATTCCCTCAATGATGAATCGAAAATGTGAAACCTTGGTCAAAATGGAGAATAACGGTAATGCCGAAGGCTCTTCTTCTTCTGAGGGCTCATGCGTTGATTAGCCGAAGGCTTGCTGTTGATGTCCTGGGGGTGCCAAAGGGGAGCCCCTTAATCTGGGGATCGAGGGCCCGATGGATGAGGGCAGTAGTGGAGTCGTTATCGGGGGCTCCACTGTTTGTTGATTAGTTGGTGATGAAGATGCCCGAGGACTCCCATTACCTGTGTGCCGTAGGCTATCCGTCAATGAGGCAACTCCCCGGGAGCTACCCGGTTTTACAGTGCTGAGGGGGAATCCCTGAGGGGTGCCCTGATATGAAGCCTTGGGTTTCTGAAGGAGTGATCCCGAAGGCGTCTGTTATGTGCTGTGTGGGGCACAACCCGGGGGCGCTTCTGGGTAAGTGTACCCGGAGGCTCTCCTTGATAAAGTGGAGTGAAGTAGAAAACCCGGGGGCTTCCAGAATATAGCCGTTGGAATATGTAACGTCAGGTTTATAGCCGTTGGGGGGGTACACGTGGAGTGTAGCCGTTGGCTGCTCGTGGGCGGGCGTCACCGGTTGGGTGAGACGACGGTGCGTAATGATGATGTTTGGCCGGAGGCCCAGTTTTTGGGCCCAAGCCCGGATCCTGGAGTCTATAAATACCCCAAGCCAATGCCATTCCTTCCTTACGCATCCAAAATCCTTAGCGAAGCTCTGCCAAAAATTCTAGAGAGAGAAACTCAAGCCTTCGGTCAAAACTCAGCTTTCAGAGGTCAGTTCTCCCTTCGTTCCTCACCGTTTTTCGTTAGGTTTTGCTCCCTGGCCTTAGGTTAGGTGTCATAGCCTTGTAGAGAACCCTCGATTTAGGAATCTTAGCCTAAGTATACCAAGGATGTCGTCCCAAAGCGACTCACAGAATATCTCGAGGGAGCCCTCGGTTGAGGACGAGGTTGCTTCCGATGTTGAGTCAAGTAGCAGTGCGCCCTCGGTTGCTGATGACGAAGTCGTAGCCTTGGAGTTGCAGAAGGCCCTTGCTGCTGAAGTGGAAGCCGAGGGCTTCGAACAGGAGTGCGAAGATGAAGAATTAGCCTTCGCGTATCAGGTGGCGGAGGACGAAGCCCAAAAGGAGGCGATGACGGTTACTGTTGCTGTGCCACCCCCTCGGACTGACTGTGGTGAGCCTAGTACCTCCAGGCCGTTGGACCCGACGCCTCTGAGGATAGCCCCCGGTAATAAAAAGAAGATGAAGTCGAAGAAGGCTGCCCCCAAGAAGAAGGGTGTTGCCGCTGGTGCTGGGGGGCCTGTTGAAATGCCAGAGGGGTATACCTGGCTAAATACCGAGGCCCTCGATATCAAGTCGAAGGCGGACAGGGCTGATTTGTACGTCACGCAGCTGCACGTTGGGCCCTCAGCCGTAGTGGTGGAGCCAGGCGTCGATGATTTGCTGTCCCGGCCACCCGAGGGATGCATTGTCGTCCACATCCTGTCGGTGTCAATGGGCCTCCGGTTCCCCCTGCACCCATTTCTCCGGGAGTACCTCAGGTTCGTTGGACTCATCCCTTGCCAACTTACCCCCAACAGCCATTCATATATTGCTGGCTTTCTGCACTTGTGCCGGACGAGGGATGTTACCCCAAGCTTGGACCTCTTCTTCCAAAGCTTCAACTTGTGCCGAGGGGGGCACGTGAATGCCGAGGGCTTCGCCAATTTGCAGCAGGTGGCGAAGTTTAAGTTGTTCACCGAGGCGCCCTCGTCCAACAAGGGCTGGAAAGACAGATGGTGCTATGTCCGGTTGGCCGAGAACCCCTTCCCGAGGGAGCTACGGGACCGCTTTCGGCGCCACGAGAAGGTGGGGAGTATCGCCCTAGAGAAGGATGGCCTGAAACTCGCCAATATCCCGGAGGGCAAGAAGAAGGTCGTGACAATCAAAGAATGCACTTTTGAGGATGACTTGCATGCCCTCGGGTTCCAACGGTACCGGTTCATCGGGGAAACAGACGAGAAGTATCCCGTCTTCGTTGAGGCCTTCGGGGGAGCAGGAGGTAGTCTACGAGGGCCCTTAGTCTTGTACTTAGGCATTCTCATTTTGCATCCCGATAGTTGTTTGTGGTATGAATCCTTCGGGTTAATATTCTCTTTGCATTGTTTTGCAGGTATGGAGGCTCTCTTCGCAATGAAAAAGAAGAAGGAGAGGGCGTAGGCCCAGAAGAAGGAGAAGAAGGAGCCCTCGGGTCAAAAGCCCATTGATGAGGTTTTCCCGAAGGAGGCTGCGGAGCCTTCAGTTGCTGCTGCTCCTGCTACTGTGGCCGGGGTGGCCGCCAAGAAGAAAAAGGGAGGCAAGGGGGTGGAGCCCCCGATCAAGAAACAGAAGGTTGCCGGGGGCGCCGTTGAAAAGGCGGCCCCCCTCATAGTAATTGATGATCAGCCCTCCGCTGACCCCTCGGCCATTGACACTCCGATGGCTCAAACAGACCTTCCTCCGGGGAACTTGCCTCGGGAGATTATTCAGCTCTCCCTCGCTCCGGGGGCATCTGTGTTGCACGGTTCAGCTGAACCGATGTCTTTCCTGAGGAGGATTACCTCGATGATGGATAAGGAAGCCCTCTCCACCTATGACGATGACGCCCTCGAAGGCAAGGCCCTTCGATCAGCTCTGGCTGTAAGTGTTTTTACTTTGACTTTATCTTAACACTTAGTATAATCCCAATGCTTGTCTGAACCCTTTGTCCGTTATTCAACAGGCGTGTATAACCTTCGGTGAGCAGGCCCGAAGGCGCGAGGAGTGGTGCCGTCATAAGGCCGAGCTAGAGAAGTCCGTGAAGGAGCTGATCCACGACAAGGACGCTGCCCTCCGGGAGGTGTGCAAGCTGGAGGACGCCCTTCGGCAAGCGGAGCTGAGGCTGAGGGAGGCCAGAGATGACGGGAAGGCCGAGGGCAAGGCAGAGGCCGAGAGGGTTGCGGCCGAGGAGAGAAAGCAAGCGGCTGAGGACGCCGAAAAGGCCAAGGCCGAGGCTGTTGTCAAAGCCTGAGAAGAGGCCATCGCTGGGTTCATCTCCGAGGGCTGGATGGCCGAGGGCCAGAGTGAGTGGGTGGCCTCTGTGGTGAAGGCCTCGATCGAGGAGTGGGTGAGGGGCCCCGGGCTCGACTGGATGAACGAGAGGGGTGACACCTACTATCAAGCCGGCGAGTTCTTCACCCAGAACCTGGTTTACCGGAGGCTCGCCCGGCATTTTGGCACCTCCCTGGATGAGTTTAACCCCTCAGTGTATGGCCTCCCCCCGTTGAAGCCAGATGTGAGGGTCCCCCTCCCCGAGGGAGAAGAGCGCCCGGTGATTCATGATTCTATGATGATGGGCGTTGATGATGATGCTGAGGACGCCACCGGGAAGGAGGTTACCTCGAAGCCGTCGGAGGAGGCGGCCCCCGGGAATGATGTCGTTGATTTGTAATATGTACTTAGCAAACATTTGGGCTTACTTGTAATGGTGACACTATTGATCCTTCGGCTTCGGCCTGTTTGTAATAATTACATTTACTCCTTTTTGTGATGATTGAATGATTGCCTTCGGGCTTTGTATATATGGCTTGCTTTCCTTAATTCATGTTTTCTTGAATGTATGCCGTCGTTTTTTTCTTGAGTGTATGCCCTCGCCCTTTTTTGAATGTATGTCTAGGACTTAGAATATTTTCTAAGCGTTTGAACACGATCGTAGCCTTCGGTAGTTGGGCACCCTTTGCTGGATATACAACCGAGGGCTCAACAATAATTAGGACTTAGAAAATTTTTCTAAGTGTAGCACACCATAGGGCCTTCGGGTGTTAGTAGTTCAATTGCTGTGTGAGGATTAGATTAAGAACCCAATCCTTAGGACTTAGAAAGATTTCTGAGTGTAGTTTGCCCTTGGAGCCTTCGGGAGATGGCGTCCCTTCTTGATGTATGGGTAGTTGACCGGGGGGAAAATATGTAGGACTCAGAAAATTTTCTAAGTGTAGATTTTCCCTTGGGAGCCTTCGGGAGATGACATCCCTTCTTGATGTATGAGTAGTTGACCGGGGGAAAAATATGTAGGACTCAGAAAATTTTCCAAGTGTAGATTTTCCCTTGGGAGCCTTCGGGAGATGGCATCCCTCCTTGATGTATGAGTAGTTGACCGGGGGGGGGGGGATATGTAGGACTTAGAAAATTTTCCAAGTGTAGATTTTCCCTTGGGAGCCTTCGGGAGATGGCATCCCTCCTTGATGTATGAGTAGTTGACCGGGGGGGAAATATGTAGGACTTAGAAAATTTTCTAAGCGTAGATTTTCCCTCGGGAGCCTTCGGGAGATGGCATCCCTTCTTGGTGCATAGCCCTCGACTGTCATATTCATTTAGCTGTAATATTGATTGTGCCGGGGGCCCATCTTTAGGACTTACAACTTTTTAAGTGATGTTGTATTGCATAGCCTTCGGCTACCATATTCCCTTGGCTGTAATATTGATTGGGCGGGGGGCCCAATCTTTAGGACTTAGAATTTTTTCCAAGTGCTGCTTCCTTGTGTAGCCTTCGGGTGATAGGTGCCCTCTGACTCTACATCACTTTGCGAGATGCCCGGGGGCTACTCATTTAGGACTTAGAATATTTTTTAAGCGTAAAGTGATGTCGAGCTTCCGGATGTAGAGCCCTCCGGGTATATGAACAGGACCCTTCGGGTGATCGTGGGGCCCTTGAGTTGTATGAGCATTTGATCGAGGGCCAAATATGTGGAACTTGGCAAAATCTCACAGTGTGTCGTAGATGTTGGACCTTCGGTCAGTGAGGAGTCTGTCCGAGGGGCAAATATTTTGGAACAGTCCCCTTGGTTGGCTTTTGAAGATTTGTAAGAGATGCCTTCGGTTGTCTGGTGACATATTAACCTCCGGTTGCCGTCATTTTCCAAAAGTGTGGACTTAGGAAAAGTGTGGAATCCTGTTGTCGTGAAGAAAGCCAATGATGAGTGTGTGCCCTCGGCATACACATTGAAAAGTTGTAGAGTTTGACTTAGCCAGTTGTGTCGTAGATGTTGAACCTTCGGTGCTTGTGAGACCGGAGGTGACCAGGCAGTGGACTTTAGCCGTTTCTTGATGATATTTGTTTGAGTAGTATCCTTCGGGAAATAGGAGCCTTCAATCACCGGAGGTGTTCCCGTGGGGAGCCCTCGGCATGTTGTGATCTGTTGGAGTGTACTCTTTGATTTCTCGCTGAGTCTACTCCCCTTCACCCCCTCTTTTTTTTTGGTTGGTGGTGAAGGGAAGGCATCAAGAAACTTGGTTTCTTGGTAAGGCTGGGCCTATTAGGAGACCATCAGAATACACCAATGGCTCTCCTCCCTCGGGTTAACCTTCCGAGTTCCGAGGGGATCGAGGGTCGTTTCCTGGACACAAGATATGGTGGTCTGTAACCTGCCTCCCCTTGGGGGATGGCGCGGAAAGCGCCTCATTTTTGAAAGTCGTCCCCTCGGCGCTAGACATAGTCCGTGGCCTGCCACACCCTTGGGTGGTGGTGCGGGGAGCGTTTCGGTTTGGAAGTCGAATCCTGGGCATTTCTCGTGCCTGTCATACCCTTGGGGTGATGACGCGGATAGCGTTCCGTTTTTGAAAGTCGAATCCTGGGCATTTCTCATGCCTGTCATACCCTGGGGGTAGTGACGCGGAAAGCGTTTCAAGGAAGGGTTTTCATTTGCACACTAGTTGCAAATGGCCGGGGGCACTACGTGCCGCCGGCACCGATGGTGGCGCCTTCGGTATATGCGTCCTCGTGGGGTACGGCTTTTAGAAACAACACTTGGTGTTGGTTTCGATGTGTAGCCCCCGGTACTTGGTACCGAGGGGTCTTCTGTAGGAACACTTGGTGTTCTCTTTTGTTGTAGTTGATGGAGGTGTCTACCCTCGGTACTTGATACCGAAGGGTCTTCAAATGAAACACTTGGTGTTTCCCAACAGATGTTTGGAAGTTGATAGGAGAGCATATCCCGGGCACTGGGTGCCGAGGGGTCTTCTGTAGGAACACTTGGTGTTCTTATCTTTTTTTTTAATGTTTGAAGGTGGAGATGTGTACCCTCGGCACTGGGTGCCGAAGGGTCTTCTGTAGGAACACTTGGTGTTCTTATCTTTTCTTTTTTGATGTTGAAGGTGGGGATGTACCCTCGGCACTGGGTGCCGAAGGGAAATAAAACACATGGCGTTCCTTGCCGTTGGTGACGGGAGTCCCCACCCTCGGTACTTGGTACCGAGGGGTCTTGTTCGAAAACACATGGTGTTCTCCTTGTTGTTGTAGGTGTTGATGGTGTCCGCCCTCGGCACTTGGTGCCGGAGGGGGTTCTTCTCGTGGTGAGGCCTGGGGCCTGTAGTCAGTATGAGGGCGTGGTGTCTTGAATGTGTCTTCATTCCTCAAAAGTGGAGGCCTTGGGCCATAGGATAGTACATTCATTAGTTATGAGGGCTTGGCCGCTCTTACATTATTGGTAAAATTTAACTAAATGGTGTACATTCCAGTGCCTAGGGACCTCTTTCCCGTTGGGGCGTTTGAGCTTGTAAGTCCCAGGTTTGATGATGGCTGCTATGATGTAGAGGCCTTCGAATTTTGGTGCCATTTTTCCTCCCTCGGTTGGTTGGCTGGCTTCCCTCCTCCGGAGGACATAGTCCCCCACTTGGAATTCTCTGGTGCGGACTTTGGCGTCGATGTAGCTTTTGACTTGCCTTCGGTAATTTTCTGCCCGGATGAAGGCCTGCTCCCGGCGTTCTGAAATGAGGTGGAGGTCGAGGGCCATGTTGCTGTCGTTGACCTCGGGGTCATATTGGATCACCCTTCGGGTGGGAAGGGTGACTTCCGTAGGAGCTTTGGCTTCAAAACCGTAGCAGAGGGAGAAGGGTGTTTCACCTGTTGCTCGCCGAGGGGTGGTGCGGTAGGCCCACAGGATGTTGTGGAGTTCTTCCACCTAGCCACCGCCCTCGGCCTCCAGCTTCTTTTTGAGGCCCTCGAGCAAGGTCCGGTTGGCATTCTCTACTTGCCCGTTGCCTTGAGGGTAGGCAACGGAGGAGAAGGTGTGTTTGATGCCTCATGCCTCCCTTGAGGGCACAGAAGGGGGCTGCCTCAAATTGTGTCCCATTGTCGGAGATGATCTGCTGGGGGACGCCAAACCTTGTGAGGATGTTTTTGAGGACGAAGTGACGGCACTTCGCCTCTGTGATGCTGGCGAGGGGTTCAGCCTCCACCCACTTGGTGAAGTAGTCGATGGCCACAATGATGTATCTGTTGTTGGAGGTACCCCTCGGCAGAGGGCCTACAAGGTCTATCCCCCATCGAGAAAAGGGGATAGATGTGCTGATGGGGGCATAGTTGACCGCTGGCCTGCCGGGGGCTTTCTGGAAATGTTGACATGCGGCGCACCTCCGGGCCAGGTCAGCACAATCTCTGGCCATGGTTGGCCAGAAGTAGCCCTGGAGAATGAGCCTTCGGGACATGGAGAAGGGTCCCTGGTGAGCTGAGCATGTGCCACTGTGCACTTCCTCCATTGCGACCTCGGCTTCATCTTGATGAAGGCACCGAAGTAGCGTGCCGTTGTAAGATCATTTGTAGAGCCTTCCATCTTCGATGGTGTAGCTAGGAGCCCTCAGCTTTGCCAGTTTAGCGCGGGTCTCATCCTCGGGTAGCTGCCCTGTGGAGATGAAGGCGGTGATATCTGAGATCCAATCCTCCTGGCGTTGTTGTATGTTCATGACGGGGCTTGCATGGATACTTGAGAGGCTGAGTTCCTCAATTTTGGCAATTTTGGAGATGTGCTCGGGGGAGTCGGCCGAGAGCTTAGATAATATGTCGGCCTCGGAGTTCTGAGCCCTCGGTATTTGAGTGAGAGAGTGTGCCTCAAATACCTTAAGCAACTCCTTGGCCGCTTCCTTGTACTGTTTCATTCTTCCCTCCTTGGCCTCATATTCCTCGGAGATTTGGCCAACGACCAACTCGGAGTCGCATTTGATGTGGATCTGCCGGGCCCTCATGTTGGCAG